TTTGGAACAGGGTTTTCCAAAAGATTTGGCTACAGCTTTGGCATGAGAAACTTCACCACTCTGTGTTTTATGCTTTATCCCGTCGTTGTCATCTATATCACTCAGATAGCATATGTTGTACATGTAACCACAAATCAAAGGGTGGTTAAAAAAAGTACAGTGGAAACAGGAAAGGGAAAAGAATTCACCTTTTCTTGATTGTACCATTCTCCATCAACTCATTGGTCTTCTCCTTATAAGGAGGCTCAGCGTCATCATGCATGGCCTTTGAAGTCCTTTTTAGTATCTATGAAACTTCTGTAATAAAATAAATTGATCAGAGCAACAAAAAGTTAGGAAATTTACTTATGCAGCTCAATCATAAAAGCAAAACCCAACATTGAACTAATCAGCTATCAAGCAGCAGCCTCGAGACATTTTTCAGGGAAAAGCTAACCTAAAAGCACAGTCTTAAACTTTATCAACATGCTTGACAACTTGAGATCATAAGACAAGTTCGAAAGAAAGCTTACGATCAGGAAAAAAAAACACAACACTTACTGGTCCAAGAAGAGAGCGGCTCCAAAGAGAAAGGGAGAGAGTTAAACAACTATAAAGGCTTCCACAAAAATCATTAAAAATCAAGGACTCAGTGAGAACATATGCTTCTGCATGATTGCAACAATACATTAAAGTCATTCAAGTAGTAATAAACTTATGCAAGTAAGTAAATGGCTTGTGAACTGAGACTTAAACACACTCAAGATCCGATTTGCCTCTAATCCGTTTCCTAAAGCTTGAAAAGGAGAAAGCGATGGATTTCACTGATTCGAAGGCCCGTATTTATAGTTGTGAATTCGTAACAATAGAAGGTGTATTGAATGTGGCGTACTGGGAGGACTGGTTTGATGGCATTAACGACAACATTAATTGATTGAAGGGAAACAGAAACCGTTAAGCTGCCATGGGGACAGAGGTAGTGGGATGAAGGCCGATCGTCACGACAACGAAGTAGACGCCGGGATCAATCAGGTAATAAGGGTGGACTCATTTAAGGTCTGGACCTTTGATAAGAAATCACTCTTAGATCAAATTAACTAAGATAGGCCAAGCCCAATCAAACCAATTTTCCAAACTCGTTGAGGAGAATATTTTTGCTGTGTCGTCAACCTGAACTCTCGGGAGATGAAAGCTGATCTTGGAAAGAAGATGAAACCATAATTTTGTATTGTACCGTTACTAAACATGGTTTAAGAACCCAAAGTGAACACATCTATAACAACAATAAACTAGGTGATTTTCCTGTGCTCATGCACAGACATAAATATTTAGAAAATAAATATACAATAATAATTGATTGATATTTACTTAAATTTTAAATTAATTTATAGTTTTTATGTCTAATTTATATTATAATATTATATTACTTTAATTATATATATAATTATATATGTTATATTTAGTTATATTTATTGTTTTTACCATAGATTTAGTTATCATTTAGATATATTGGATTCTATCTATTTCTATGAATTCAACTATAATCTTTTTTTATTTTAAATATATTAAAATTTTGATTAATTGTCTTATTTGCATGTATGCTTATTGTTATCTTATAAATATAAGTATATTTTGTAAGATTATATATAACTTAAGATTTTTTTGTGCTTAGAATGAAAAAATAAAAACTAAATTGTCTAATTCTAATTTACATACATAAGTAACTAATAAATTTTTAGAAGCTTATGAAATCATATGAATATTTACAAGAAATAAAATATTTTATAAATTCTAAATAAATCTATGCTTTAGATTGATTGGATGGTAAACTGAAATTTATTTTAAAACATTTTTAAATAAGGATTCTAATTTGCTTAAGTATTTTGATTATAATTATATTAAGTTTCACAAACATAAAAACAGAAAATTAAAAACCAAAAGATTTATTAAGAAAACAGATAATTTTAACTATTAAAATATAATATATTGACCTCATTAAATTATATAGTGTATGGTATTTTATAATAATTGTAGTTATTTTCTGTTTTTATGTTTGTGAAACTGAATATAACCATAATCAAAATACTTAAGCAAATCACAATTCTTATTTTTAAAACAGATAATTTTAACTATTAAAATATAATATATCTACCTCGTTAAATTATATAGTGTTATAATATTTTAAAATGATTGTAGTTATTTTATCAAAAGATGTTTATTATTAAGTTTATTTTTGGCTTTATTTTTAATATCTCTTAAAATAGCCAGTACAAAAAGTGATTGTTTAGGAGAAATTATATTATATAAGTAAAATATAATTTGTATTTTTACTGTAATTGTTAGATAATATAGTCAAATAAATATACTAAAAAATTAATTTGAATAATACTAATTATAAAAAAATGTCAACTAAACATATATCAGTTAATGTTATTTAATTATTTTAAAATAGATAGATATATACAAAATAATTATTTTGAAAAAATATATATATTTTATTGTTTAAAATTATATTTTTAAACAATAGATTATTATTATTATTATTATAGATTATTTTAGTCAACCACTTTTAAACAATTGAGTCAACCACTTTTTGTACTGGCTATTTTAAATAGATTATTATTATTATTATATAGTTAAAGATAGTTTTAAATTAAAATTGAAGTATAGTTAATTTTTATTTTAGTTAAGTCAAATCAAGTTAGTTTTATTTTTTGCTTAAATATACATGTATTTTCATAATATTTATTTACTCTTTATTTTAGTTAAATCAAATCAACTTAGTTTTATTTATCGCTTATATATACATGTATTTTCATAATATTTATCAAATTATATGTTGATTTCTAAAAAATATTAGAAACTAAAGTGTAACTGATAATTTTTTTGATGTTCATGAACATATATATTTTTATTATTTTGAAAATATATTTTATGTTATTTAAAAATATATATTAATGGGAGTATTACTATTTTGTGAACTTTCCTTTTTAATAAAGTCATATTATATACATGTATATTCGTTTTTAATTTTTTAAAGAGTTTAGAAATATTTCCTTTTTATTATATATGTTATTTGGAAAAAGGTAAAAAAGAAACTAAATAAAAATAATAATCTAAAAATCTAAAATTCATTAAGGGTACCTAAGTAATCAACCATCGCGAGAGTTAACGTGAGCACGACACATAAGAAACTGACTTCTCAAATAATATTATAGAGATATTTGGATAAAATGAATCCATAATTCGAAGGCCCACACACAGAAATAACAATGGCCCACCAAATAAAAGTGCCACGTGTATTAATTCCCCTCAAGGAGAGAAAAAAAAGCCAACTTTATTGTTAAATATGTTTATATAATTGTTTTTGTAGTATCATATGCATTTATCTGTATATTATAAACTTATATAATGTAATATATATTATATAATTGTTTTATAAATAAATTATGGTAATTGCATTGGAGATGTAAAGTGACATTTTTTTTGAACCAAGAAAAAAATGTAGAATGATACTTATTTAGAAACAGAGGGAGTATCATTATTTTTAAATAATATTTTCTTAGTTTCAGTTTACATATATATTCCATCTTCGACTTTATCAATTGTAGAACTGTTCACTTTTATTGATCTTTCTTTTTCAATTTATCTTACTGTTTTAAACACACACATAAAGATAATTAGTTCACATTTATAGCATAAAACTAATTAGTTCACATTTATAGTAACATACTCCCTCCGTTCCTAAAAGATGTATATTATAGAAAAAAAATTTGTTCCAAAAAGATGCATTTTTTACATTTTTAATGAATGATTTAATGAAAAATTGTAAGTTTCAAAAAAATCAATGGTGTTTATTGAGTTTCTGTTGGTTAAAAGTTATGGAAAATTGTTATTCACAAAAAAAAATGCATTTACAATCAAAATTAAATGAGTTTTCTTAATATTTGTGAAAAGTCTGGAACATGGATTATTTAGGAACAGATGGAGTATATGTATATCGGTAAACTTAAAGATTAACATAAGAACACAAAAGATCCATGAACACAACATGTTTTATTATTTTTTTCTCTTGTTTTTTTTTATTTGTGTATCCTTTCTTTTTTTTTCCTATTAAAAACAAGTATGTAATTTTATTATAATTAACTCTATATGAATTATATGAATAGAGTAGTAAATCTAGTCTCGTATCAGGGTAAGATTTAGATTTTAATTTTCTATTATAATATTTTTTTTTCTTGATTAATATAATTTTAAATAATTTAACATATATTATATGTTTTTAAATATAAAAATACATTGATCATTTCTGAATGATAACTCAGATATAATATCATATTTTATTTAAAAATGCTTGGAATTTTTCTAAATTATAGATTTGAATATTTTGCATTCATTTGACATAGTTTTAGAATATACATAGTAAATGATTGATTTTAACTTCAACATATTACCAACATTTTATAATAATCATGAGTTATAAAAGTGCTCCGGAAAAAAATCAATGGCTTATACAAAGGGGTTGGCACACCAAGAACATTGTTAGGGTTTGTTGGAGGCGGTTTAAGGTTGTGAATAATAATTTCTGACAAACCATTTAGAGGCCTCAAATTCCTTATTTCAATTTTGGATATTTATCCCTTTGAGTCATCTGAATAGTTTTAGTCAACTGATTGGACACTTTCATTTAGACAAATATGTAAACACAAAGAAAAAACTGAAAATTAATTAAATGGGTTTCAAAACACAATACTAACTTTAACATAATTCTATCTCCATAAGGATAACACCCTTGCATTAGTCATTTATTTCAGCCTAATGTAAGAAAAAGTGTTTCGTAAACCTACATGGAGTTACATTTTGAAGAAATATTAATACTCATCAGTAACTCTTTCAAATATTTAATAGTGTCTTCCTTTCTAATCCTATAAGTATTAAGCTTCTTTCAACATCTAAGATCATCGAAGTATCTCAAAGTGTAAACTAAATAAAAAAAATAAGTGTAAAAAATTAATAAGAAAATGGGAAGCAAAGTTTTTTTCTCAGTGATCTTAACTGCATCTTTTTTGGCTGAAAATTTTGTCACTCAAGGAGTAGCTCAAGTGCAACAGCCAGCAACCATTCCTGGACTTTTTCCTCCAGGTTTACCTATTGATCTGGTAAAATGTTGGTCGTCTCTTTTTAACATCGAAGGATGTGTGCTCCAAATCTCCAACTCGATTCTTTCTGACAAGTTTGAAAATCTTGAAGCCACATGTTGCAAGGCGTTCTCTTCCTTAGATGCAAATTGTTGGTCTCAAATGTTTCCACTGAACCCATTATTCCCACCTATCCTCAAGGAAAATTGCGCTCGCATCGTACCCAACCCACCTACACACAAGTGAAAGTCTGCACTTTTAGATCAGTCATTTATCATTTTTAAGGTCTTATATATCTTTGTCCCGAACTTAGATCGATCAATATAGTGAAATTTCTACATCGCTAAATAAATTCTTTGGAGCTCTCTACCACAAAAATCCAAATTTTAATAAATATGGTAATGCCTATCTTTTTCATCCTTGTTGATTCATTTTCTAACGCTTCATTTGATTATTTGAAAAGACTCTTTTCAAAAAAAATCAGTTTAACTAAGTGATTTGCATAATATTTAAATTGTTTCATAAAATCATCCATTTATTCAACGGTATCCCCACATACCTTATTTTCAGCAAAGTGTAGTACGGAAGTAAACTCAAATTTATAGCCAGTTAAGACAACATGTAATTAAGATTGACAATATGGCTCAATGTACATAATCAAAACCTTTAACAAAACCTCTTCCCCATTTTCTTGCCAGAGCTAATATAAGAATACAAAACATTTTAGTGAAGATAAACAAATTATAATAGCTCTATACCATTCTGATCAAAACACAACCATCTGGCTAGTCAAGAGAGATAAAAGGAACGTAAAGACAGTTAACATTCAGAAAATTTAGATTTATCGCCAGGACCGGTCCAACTAATTTCATTTATTGTAACTTTAACATATTATCAATATTTTTAGGGAAAATTGCCAAATATGACTCAAAACTTGATTTGAAATGCAAAAGTAAACCCAAACTTGAATTAAATGCAAAAGTAACTTAAAAGGCTGTTGAAATTACAACCAACTCCTTGTGAACAAACAAAAAAGAGTCTTTTTTTTACGTTTCTAGCCCTCGCAAGTCGTCTGCCCAGACGACTTTAAAATAAGTCGTCTGAGACAGTTTTTCTTAAAAATATTTTAAAAATTGTGTAATAAATATCTTGATAAATGAAAAATTGGGATTATGTAATTAACATATGTATTAAGCGATATAAATTAAGATATAAAAAAAGTCAGTTGTTTTCAGCATAGATGAGTGAAAGTAATGAGTGATGATATTCTTTAGTTTAGGTTTCACCAACATATGTTGTAGTATTGTATGTGTTTCTTAGGGTTAGAAATTCGAAAGCATAAATGTTTTTTTGAAAATTTAAAATTTACCTAAGTGTGTTTATTTCTGTGTATAGTAAACACTATTTAAGTATAATTTGATTTTATAACATGGTTAGTAGTTAATTTAGTCAATTTAATTTAGGGTTTAGGGTCTGGACGACTTAATTTAATAAGGCAAACGACTTAGTCGGATGTATAGTATCAACAGACGACTTAATTATAAGTCGTCCAAACCGGATTTTACCAAATTACTTTTAAACCTAATCGTATTTTTTACCAGACATATATAAGATGTTTTTTTTTTTGACTCACTTTTTCGTGAAACTCAGAAAACCCTAACGCCGTTTCTCTCAAAGGTGATTTCGAGGCGATTTTTATCCGATACAAGACCAAGGTAAATCGAAGGCTTCTCTTGTAGATTTATGGGTTTTTATTAGGATGGATGTTTTTTTCCTTTACTTTTACCGTTTGGTTTTGTGTTTTCAACGATTTGGGGAAATTTTGGTTTCAAATTAGGGTTTCAAAAATTGGGGATTTCAATCGACTTGTTGTTTAGTTAGGTTGGATGTTGTTTTCCTCTCATTTTACGGTTACTATTTGTGATTTCAAGCAATTTTTGGATATTTGCATTTCAAATTAGGGTCGTCCACCTGGAAGACTTTCCAGATGACTTAATTATAAGTCTACCAAGACATCCAGTAGAACATTTTAAAGCTGACCAGACGAATGAGAGGAGAACAACATCCAACCTAACTAGACCACAAATCAGCTTTCAAATGTTCTACTGGAAGTCTTGGTAGACTTAATTTAAGTCTTCCAGGTGGACGACCCAGACGACTTAGAATTAAAATGTTTCCAATTCGTTTGTTGTTTGCAGATGGCGAATCAGCATGAACCTCACTTCTTGAAGCCTCTGCTTCCTGGTTTCTACAGTGGCGTGGTATACACACGTTCTCTATTTCTCCTCTGTTTATTTCCTTTGCTTATCTTCTCCTTTGTTGACTTGTAGACAATACCACTTGCCTTCTACTCAAAACACATAGAAGGCACGCCGAACCAAGGAAAATGGACACTACGATCGGACGCTTCACACCAAACTTGGGAAGTTATACAAGAAGGAAGAAGACTCACCGATGGTTGGGAAGCCTTCGCCCAAGCACACTCCCTTTGCATCGGTGACATTCTCGTGTTCAAAAAGGAAGGAGACATGGTATTTCATGTGACTCCTTTNGCCTTCGCCCAAGCACACTCCCTTTGCATCGGTGACATTCTCGTGTTCAAAAAGGAAGGAGACATGGTATTTCATGTGACTCCTTTCGGTCCTAGTTTTACTGAGATTCAGTATACACCTCCTCAAGGGGATGATGCTGCGGATGGTGCCTCAACTTCCTCGTCTCTTCCTAAATGATGGATGTTTGTCTTGCTATCGTTTTATTGTAATCTGCTTCTAGTGGACTTGTAATGGATGACTTCTGTGTTGTTGTTCCCTTGTTTCAAATTGTTTTTAAACCTATGACTTGTAATGGATGATCAACTTTTATAACTACAACTCCTTTTGTCCTCTATGTACAAACCATGGTAACACCAATTTTAATTATTAGTCGTCTAAGAAGTCTAACACAAATTCTAACACAAAATCTTAAAACATACTCAAAAAGCCTGGACGACTTAGTAGACGACTAATATTTTAAGTCGTCTGGAAAGTCATCCAGCCGAAAGATTTGTCAGACGACTTAATTATTAGTCGTCTAACCCCGTAAGTATTCTATTCAGACGACTTTCAACTAAGTTGTCTGGACGACTTAGTTGAAAGTCGTCTGGTATAGTTATTCTTAAACATAATTTAAAAAATTTGTAAAGAATATTTAGATAAGTGAAAAATTGAAATCATGTAATTAACACAAGTTTTAAGAGATATAAATTAAGATTAAACCAAATTTAATTATTTTTAACATAGATGAGTGAAAGTAGTGAGTGATGATATTCTTTGGTTTTGGGTTTGCCAACATATGTTGTAGTATTGTATGTGTTTCTTAGGGTCAGATTTTCGAAAGCATAAATGTTTTTTGGAAAAATTAAAAGTTTACCTAAGTGTGTTTATTTCTATATATAGTAGACTCTATTTAAATATAATTTGATTTTATAACGTGGTTAGTTACTTAATTTAGTCAATTTAGTTTAGGTTTTAGGGTTTAGGGTCTGGACGACTTATATCTAAGTCGTCTGGTAAATAAATTTAATAAGGCAGACGACTTAGTCGGATGTATAGTATCAACAGACGACTTAATTATAAGTCTTCCAAACCGGATTTTACCGAATTACTTTTAAACCTAACCGGATTTTTTACCGGACATATATAAGAAGATTTTTTTTTGTTACTCACTTTTCGCGAAATTCAGAAAACCCTAACGCCGTTTATCTCAAAGGTGATTTCGAGGCGATTTCGATCCGATACAAGACCAAAGTAAATCGAAGGCTTCTCTTGCCGATTTAATGGGTTTTTATTAGGATGGATGTTGTTTTCCTTTACTTTTAACGTTTGGTTTTGCGTTTTCAATGATTTGGGGAAATTTTGGTTTTAAATTAGGGTTTCAAAAATTGGAGATTTCAATCGACTTGTTGTTTAGTTAGGTTGGATGTTGTTTTCCTCTCATTTTACGGTTACATGTGATTTCAAGCAATTTGTGGATATTTTCATTTCAAATAAGGGTTTCAAAGATTGGGGATATTTTACGGTTATCGTCGTTCTCATCGCGCTTCTTTTTCACGTTTATTTTTGCAGTTCTATAACCGCTATGTCGAAGGCGAGTACATCTTCTCCGAAATTCCAGGTCAGCTTTCAAATGTTCTACTGGAAGTCTTGGTAGACTTATAATTAAGTCGTCTAGAAAGTCTTCCAGGTGGAAGACTTTCCAGATGACTTAATTATAAGTCTTCCAGACTTATAATTAAAATGTTATACTGGATGGTTGTGTGCTGAGATGGTTTCCTTTGATTTTTTTTGCAGAATATTCCCGAACTCCCCCGTAGGATACATACACTAGGGAAAGAGCCTAGAGCTCAGCATAACATTACGTATCATCCGTGTACGAAGTTGTATACTGCTCTAAGGAATGCTCTTAAGGATGAAGAGTATGAAGAGCTGAAAGAGTCTAAGTTGGGAGTTTTCATCAAGTTCCAAGAGCTGGATTTTGAATGGGCTTCAAGGCTGGTTCACTACATACTCTGTTTCCAGCTCGACATAAAGAAGAAGTATGAGCTGTGGAGTCTTGCTGGTCCACAACCTTTGAGGTTTTCACTGTTAGAGTTTGAATACCTCACTGGTCTAAACTGCGAGTACATTGAGGACCTTGAGAGACCAAATTGTCCTGTTACAAAGGAGTTTGTTGCTTTCTGGGAGTTGTTGGGAGTTAATGTCGAAGCTGGGCCAACTACTGATCAGATAATAGATGCATTTGGGAGATGCGAAAAGTGGTCTCCGGATGATCGCAAGCGGCTCGGGTACCTTGCCATCTTGGCTGGATACATTGAAGGGAGGAAGTTTTCAACCCATACACGGGCTTCTCTGGCTAGGCTAGTGATGGATCTAGAATGGTTTGAGAATTATCCATGGGGGAGAGTCGCGTTTTGATGGACTTTGTGAAGGGCAAAGATATATCTGGTTGTTACACCATTGATGGGTTTGTACAAGCTCTCCAGGTCTGGGTGTACACAGCTTTGCCGGATTGGGTGCTAATTATGGTCAGCCCATACCAAACAGCTCTCCACCGATACTAGCTTACAAGGGTGGCAAAAGACGGCATTTTAAAGATGCCATTGAAAGACAGGTATTTACTTTACTCCAGAAGAAGACGACTTATGAAGGATAAACCACGTACATCGCCAACTAAGTGGTATTACATCCTCCGAACCACCTTATCTTGGC